CAGTCATTGAGAAGTGACCAATCATGCCTGAAGTGTAAGTCATTCTCTAAATCAACATGCTTCAGAGTTAATTTTTTTCAGCAATAGCACCTCCATTCCTCATTTTCCCTGAAAAAGAAAAAACTAACATGGTAGCTTTGTTTATCCATAGGAAAGAGGAAGGACATGTTGTGTGAGACGAATTTTGTATCTCCAAGCATATATTTTTAAATAAAATAATAATTTTTAATTATTTTTTTTAAATATTCTTGATCAAGGGGGCCCTTACTGCAGTAAATTGATGTCAACTTGTAATGTGTTATAGCACAGTAGATAACGTAACTGGCTGTCAAACTACACAGCAGCTAACTTCACAAATGCCATACCTATTAGCTTGAGTTCCTGAAGTATTTTTCTTTTCAATGCATGCAGTTATTGGGGCTGAAGCGTTCGTTGTCAGTGGACTGTGAACTTCAATGTTTGATTTTTGTTTTGTTTTTAAGCTGAAGAAAATACAGAGGCTGTTATCTGTGTGAGCCAAGTTAAACAAGAGCCAAGAGAAAAAGCATTGTCTATGGAGCCCGATAAAATCAGAGACTGCCATAGTTCCTCAACTGTTTAAAACTCTGTGAAGCCTGGAAGGATTTTTCAAATCAGAGAACTCTAAATGTCTCGGAAGGACAGGCAGGTGCTTTCAAAGTAATGCCGTTCTTTTTAAGTCGCATTGTGACATTCAGAATAGGCATATTTTACACTAGTTCTGATAGACAGCTGTTTTGATTTAGGACTCATGTGGCTCACGGCCAATTACAGGTCATTCAGTTGCCCTGTGGAACACCACCTCTCTTGTTTCAAGTTTTGGGTAATTTGGATTCTATCCAAATGGCCGATTTCAGTTGACATTTCTGAAGGTCCTCCACAATTTAATTCCTTAGCTTTAGAATATGGATCACAATGCTGAGTTTGCTTTTTGTCCCTGAGACCCTCAACTGTTACGGTGCTACAGAGACCATAGAATCTGCCAGCTCCAAGACCACAGAATCCAACAGCAAAGTGTATCACTACAGCAATGGTTTTGTGACAAAACGAAGGTCCAAGACACTGAATTTCAAAGTGATGAAGGACATGGATACTTAAGAAAATGCAGCTTTGACCTGATCATAATGTTAATGGTGTGAAGATCAAGGAGAGGAGAAAGGTGAGGTCACCAGGTGAACGTAAGGTTGTATGACGAAGAAAAGTGTGTGAATTGTAATGGTGAATGTTTTCAACTTTGACATCTTTAAATTTATGTTCTGGCTTTATAATGAGGTTCGTTGCTGCACACCTTTGCAGGGGTACGACATTAGCAATTGGCCATAACAACTAAAAGCAGCTGTCTTGTCTTATGGAAAGTGATTGATGCTGCCATTTCAGCTCATCTACCTTTTGCTTTATGCACTTACACTATCAGCTCAGATAAATATGACTAAACCTGCTGCTGATCATGATGTAAGGCTTATGGATACATTAGTAATGAAGAGAGACCCAAGAAAACAAAGTAAGTAATATAAATCTAAGCAATATGTGCAAGTGTGCTGTCACTATAACATTCAGAAAACAAATTTATCTTTTTCAACAGTGGCAGGTTCTAAGACTGAAGTGGTCTGCATTACTTAAAATAATTACCAAGAATCTTTAAAAAACTGAATATGATAAAGAAATATCTTTTAGCAGTATTTAAGCTGAAGTCATATTAAGTGACAAGCACTGAGTTGCATAATCTGTGACAGAAATGTTTCTTTAAGGAAAAAAAAACACCACCTAGAAATGAGTTGACATCCATTTAAAGCAGTAAATGAAATGAAACAGATGCCAACATAGATATTAAGTTAAACAATGCATTGTTTGCTTCAGATGTTTAATTCTTAAAGCAACATTCAGAATATTTTGTATACAGCAATGTCATAGAATCATAGAATGGCTTGGTTGGAAGAGACCTTAAAGATCATCTAGTTTCAACCCTGCTGCCATGGGCAGGAACACCTTCCCCTCCATCAGGTTGCCCAAAGCCTCATCCAACCTGGCCTTGAACACTTCCAGGAATGGGACATTCACAGCTTCTCTGGAAAAATTGGAAAGACAAGGATGTTGTGTGGGACAGTGTCAAATGCTTTGGACAAGTCCAGGTAGACGATATCAGTTGCTCTTCCCTTATCCACCAATGCTGTAACCCCATCATAGAAAGCCACCAATTTTGTCAGGCACACCCCCCCAGCTTTCTTCTGGCCCTCCTTTAGATACTGGAGAGCTGCTAGAAGGTCATCTCAGAGCCTTTTCTTCTCCAGCCTGAACAACCTCAACTCTCTCAGCCTGTCTTCATAGGAGAGGTGCTCCAGCCCTCTGATGGTTTTTGTGGCCCTCCTCTGGACTCACTCCAACAGCTCCATGTCCTTTTTCTGTTGGGGACCCAAGAGCTGAATGCAGTACTCCAGTTGGAGTCTCACGAAAGCAGAGTAGAAGGGGAGTGACACCTCCCTTGTCCGGCTGGCCATACTTCTTTGGATACACCACGATACAGTTGGCTTTCTGGGCTGAAAGTACACATTGCTGGTGTATGTTGAGCTTTTCATCAAGCAACACCTCCAATCCTCCTCAGGGCTGCTCGCAATCCACTCTCCTACCAGCCGGTACTTGTGCTTGTGATTGCCCCGACCCATGTGCAGGACCTTGCACTTGGCCTTGTTGAACTTCATAAGGTTTGTACAGGCCCATCTCTCCAGCCTGTCCAGGTCCCTCTGGATGGCATCCCTTCCCTCTAGCATGTCAACCACACCACACAGCTTGGTGTCATCAGCAAACTTGCTGAGGGTGCACTTGATCCGACTGTCCATATCGCCAACAAAAATGTCAAACAGCACTGGTCCCAGTACCGACCCCTGAGGAACACCACTCATCACTGCTCTCCACTTGGACATCGAGCCATTGACCACAACTCTTTGAGTGTGACCATCCACCCAGTACCTTATCCAGCAAGTGCACCGTCTGTCAAATCCACATCTCTAAATTGGAAAGACAAGGATGTTGTGTGGGACAGGACAATCCCAGGTAGACGATATCAGTTGCTCTTCCCTTATCCACCAATGCTGTAACCTCATCATAGAAAGCCACCAATTTTGTCAGGCACAATTTGCCCTTAGTGAAGCTATGTTGATTGTCGCCCTTTATTTTCCATGTGCCTTAGCATAGTTGCCA